ACACACACACACACACACACACACACACACACACAGAGAGAGAGAGAGAGAGAGAGAGAGAGAGAGAGAGAGAGAGAGAGAGAGAGAGAGCGCTAGTAGTATTCTCTTTGACACACTTTCAAATACTTTGACATTTGGTTTCTTTTTTTTTGGGGGGGGGAATCCTAGTCTTGGACTATGTTAGTTCTATTTTTAATTCTATGAAGAACATTCACACTGTTTACATACATAGTGGCTACAAGTGTGGTAAGGTTTCCCTTTATCCACATCTTCATCAACATTTATCTAGTCTTTTTGATGGTAGTGGTTGTTTTAATTTGCATTTTCCTGATGGTTAGTAATGCCGACCACTTTAATATACTTGTTGGCTACCTATATGTCTTTTAAGGAATTTAGATATTGAGATCCTTTGCCCATGTTTAAATCACATTGTCTTTTAAAATATTATTATTATTATTATTATTATTATTATTATTATTATTATTTGTGTGTGTGTGTGTGTGTGTGTGTGTGTGTGTGTGTGATGTGGGGAGGGGGCACAAGTACCTTAGTGTGCACGTGGAAGTTGGAGAACTTCGTGGTTGCTTCTCTCCTTCCTCTGTGAGTTCCAAGCTTCCAACTCAGACCACTAGGTCTATGTGATAAATCTTTACCTGCTGGGCCATCTCACTGGCTCCAGTTTGTCTTCTCACCATTGAGTTGTTTGGAGCTAGATGTACTGGTATACTGCTGAGGCAGAAAGATTGAGAGTTCAGGACCAGCCTGGGTTGCATAAGCAATCATTCTCTTAATTTCTTCTTATATGAGCCTAGCAAAATTGGTAACAAAAGCAAAAACATTAAACTTAAAAATCTTCTGTTTGACAAACAAAACAATCCCCAGAGTGAAGAGATTTTTAAAAAAAGATTATGAAATTTTTTGGGTTCCTTATGTATTTTGGATATTAATGATTTACTGGATGTACGGTTGCCATGAATTTTCTCCCATTCTGTTTTGCTTTATTGCTGGTGCTATTGGCTCACACCTAAAAGCACCGATGCTTAAGCCAGTGCCATGAGCTTCCCCCTGTACCTCCTCGGGTGGGATTTGCAGTTTCAGGTCCTAGGCTTTGAGTCTAGAACCCAGTTTGAGTTGCTCTTTGTGTTTGCTATGAGGTCAGCATCTAATGATCTGCGTGTCGACATCTGGATTTCCCGGCACCACTTGTTGAAGGGACTCTCCTGTCCCCATTGTCTGTTCTTTGTCACAGATCAATTAACCATAAACGTGTGGCTTTATTTCTGAGCACTCTGTTCTTTTTTTGGTCTGTTGAGTTTTTGTTTCTGAGACAGGGTCTCACTTTGTGTACTGTGCAGCCCAGGCTTGCCTTAAACTCTAGAGTTTCCTGCCTTGGTCTGCCAAGTCCTGGAATTATAGGTATGTTCCATGATGGCCTCTGTGCCTTGTATTCCAGTAATATATGCACCTTTTTGATCCTAATATTATTCTGGTTTTGTCCAAATAGTTTTGAAGTAGATGTTGAAATCAGATAATGTAATGCCTCTGGCTTTGCTCTTTTTCCTCAAAATTGCTTCAGCTTTTTGGAGGTTTCTGTGGTTACATATGAATTTTAGCATTATTTTTCTACTTCTGTGAAAATGTTATTGGAATTTTGGTAAGGATTACATTGAATTTGTAGATTACTTTGGGTAGTATGGACATTTTACCAGTATGCATTTCTAATCTATACTGGTAAACAGAATATCTTTTCACTTATTAATGGCGTCTGAAGTTCTTTCATAAATGTTTCTTGTTCAGTGTTCAGACCTTTCATACTATTGGTTAAAAATATCCCTAGAGTTTTTGTTGTTTTTTTAATTCTTTAACTTCAGGTCCTAATCTAGACTCAGTAGTTGGAAGTTTTTCTGTGTCCTGCCCAGTCCCGCGGTCGCTCAGACCAAAATAAACACCCAGAGGCTTATATTATTTTTAAACTATGGCCATGGCAGGCTTCTCACTAGCTAGTTCTTATATCTTAAATTAACCCATTTCTATAAATCTATACTTTGCCACATGGCTTGTGGCTTACTGGTACTTTACATCTTGCTTCTCCTGGCAGCTGCTAGCAGTGTCTGCCCAACTCTCCTTTCTTCTCTCCTATCTTGCTTAGATTTTCCTGCCTGGCTCCATCCTGCCCTGCCATAGGCCAATGCAGTTTTATTTATCAACCAATCAGAGCAACACACATTCACAGCATACAGAACGACATCCCATAGCAAGACTGTAGTAAAAGTCAGCACTCATGATGAAGTAATGAAGCTAAATAAACAAAACAAAACATTTTTAGGGCACCTGGTACCTTATGCTAAGTAATGAATATATTATAGAGATGACAGAAATGTGATCTCCTTTCTGAGCTTACAATTCTGGTGTGACTGTGACAGATACATGACCAACTTGGCCAACTACTGAGAGCTAGTGATGGAAAGCTATAATAATGAGTTTAAGCCAGAATTTAATAGGACTTAACTCAAGTCAACAGATGGAAATAGCATACAGGCAGAGGGACCAATGCAAAGAGCAAAGGAAAGGTGAAGGAGAGAGAATATGATTGATAGGTTCATATCACAAACGTCTTGTACTGAGAGAGTGAAGATCAGAAGAATGAAAAGTGAATGTGACTGGACAAATCTGTGTGGGAACCCAATGTTCTTCAAACACCCTCTGTGTCCTCACACTTGATCACTCCCAAGCCTGAATCCTATTACTTTTCTCTTTTAAAATCCACAGTGATTGCTATTATTTTTTATACCTCTGTCTTACTACCAACAAGACTGTAAATTCCTTGAGGTGAAGGACAATGCCATTATATCATCTGTCATCCCCAGCAGTACTCAGAAGTCCACTGGAATAGCATCAAGACATAACCTACATGATCTAAATACCCTTTCCTTGGGCCAGTGAGATGGCTCAGTCAGTAAGGGCACTTTTTTCCCTAAGCTTGGTGGCCCAGGTTTGGTCCCTGGAATAATTCTTTAATTATTTAATTATTAATCAGGAGCATCAAGGAAATGTTAGTGATACAAGTTAAAGGAACTCAAGCTGGGCATGGTGGCTCATGCCTT